TGTGTGTGTGTGTGTGTGTGTGTGTGTGTGTGTGTGTGTGTGTGTGTTCAGCAGGACCAGGCAGGCAGACAGCGGTGTGCCGATGTGTCAGTAAGGCCTCTGGACTCCGCCGCAGAGCAGGTAACAAACCTTCAGTCTACGCTTTTCACTCCTCATTCATTCTTCCATTTTTTCACACGGGTGATGCCAGGTGGACTTTCTTTTGAAAGCTTCTGAATCCGTGGGTTCCGGGCAGTAACGCACGTCATGTAGGACTCCGCGATGTGTGTGTGTGTGTGTGTGTGTGTGTGCAAACTGCTAACCTCTCAGGTGGACGTTCTATTTGATTTGTCTCATTCTCGTAGTGATTGTCTCCTTTTTTGGGGGGAGGTTTGTTTGTTTCTCTTTCTATGACTGCTACACGTCTTCCGATGTTTGTGTTCTTCCCATTCAGCCTCAGACCTGTTAACGCTGAGTCGATAAGAAGCAGAGTGTGTTTGTGTGTAGGCAACAATGGAGTGATGGAAACTATTTCATATATGACTGTGCGCCGTTTCAATGAGCGTGAAAAAGATGCACAAGTGAAACGATTAATTGCTTGTATAATTGATTAGTCAATTGACATACATTTTTTAAAATCTATATAAGATAATTTTATTGTTTAAGTCATTTCCCAAGCATGTCAAACCATCTCAATCCACCCTCTTAACTGTGAGAATCTTTTTGTTTGTCTTCTGTGATGGTAAACTCACAACCTCAGGCTTTTGGACTGTTGGCTGCACAAAATGAGACATTTCAATTTCTGGTGGGGCTTTAAGACTTAAGACTTTATTTATCAAACGACTAATCGGTTATTGTAGGAAATATTCTGCTTTATTGATATTAAAAGGGAGAAGATAATTTTGTAGGACTTGTTTAGTGATGGAGAGAAAGAGAAAAGAAGTAAGAGACGACAGCTGTTGTCCGTCACTGAGCTCCTATAGATGAGAGGAACGGAGAGAGGTGAAGAAGACGGGACTATAAGACACTACAGTGGAGCATGTCAGAGAACTAACGCTACTGTACGTGTGTTAGTTATAGAGAAAGACAGCGTGTGACATTCCTGAGAGAAGTTCATCATTGAAGGAGGCACAGGAAGGTTGTGACATGTACTACTGTCCCAGCAGTGTCCCACCCTGACCAGCTTTTAAGCCAGAGGTCATCCCGGCGTGTCAACACCTTCCTTCTCCATCTCTCTCTCTGCTGATCTCCCTCTCCTCACTAGTTGTTTCCTCCCTCGGTCACAGTGTGTAACACCTTTCGTTTCTTGCGTCTCTCTCTCTCTCTCTCTCTCTCTCTCTCTCTCTTGGTGTTCCCTCCTAAGTGTGTATTATCTAATCTCAGTGGGTGTTTCAGACGTACACATTCACCAAACATGTCTCTATTCATTTCATCCTCTGATGTTGTTGTGGATGGGTGGTAGAATGAGAGTTGCTCTTGTTTATTAATCCTTAGCTTGTAAGTTCATACTAATAATAGAAAGGGAGGAGTATTAATACAGTGGTGAAGGAATATTTCTTTTGGACCCTTCACAGATGGATGATTTAGTTTAACTCTCAGGGATTTCTCTAAAGATTACTCTTCATTTGGCTCTGGATTTTAAAAGAGTTGGGGTATTGAGGTGATTTTTAATATGCAATAATTCCAGTCCACTACTGTAACGTGGATGTTATTTTTTCTTTGGTGAGTTTTGTTCACATTTAGTGTGTATTTTATACTCATCCACCTTATTGTCACATAGTTAATACCTCAGTGAATCGGCTCAGCTGTTTGACTTCACTTCTTATCATTTGTTATCAAGTCCTCTATTGTTCATGGAGACATGGAGGCTCTGACATTAAGCTTTGTCATGCACCAGGTAGCTGAGATGTTTCACTTGCCCGATAACCCAACTTACATGTACGAAATGTCAAATGTAGGCTTATTAATAAATAGATAAAATCAACAGAGATGACGACAAATGGACAGAATAAAGCGCCATCAATGTTCTCTTTTTACCTGTTGTTATTGTCATCTACAGTAGGTATTGGCATGAAACCACATAATTATTAGGAAACAAATTGAATATTTATTTAAATATTTGCTTTCATCTCACATTATTTTGGGGTATTTGTGGTTCTACATATATATTGTAAGCTGGTGATCTGTATATTAGCTCCTAATAAAGACGACACACCCGATCAGACTACTGCATGAGACATTTCACAGAGTGTACTTGCCCCGGGCAAGCGTTAACGTTAACATTTAAATCAGCTTTAATATCAGTGTGTGTCACTTAAACTGTAAATTCTGTAGTTTAACCTTAATTAAAATATCATCTTTCATCGTTTTTTTTTTATTGTTAATCGCTCTGTAAGTTGCCAAATAGAGCAACGAAGCATTCTTATTCCACTCAGCATTCTTTAGTGGTAATGTAGACGGTACGTGGCCTGGAGGGTTTTGTACTGTAGTTGTTCCACCATGGCTAAAGGGCTGTTGTTACTTGGTTAGTGCAGTATGTTGAGTTTTCTGTCCGTGTCCTCTCATTCTCAAGAAACGGCATTAAATAATAGCAATCGCAGCCAGTGTTTCTCTAAGTTCTAGTGGTGTGAGAGGAACGACGTGCTCATGATAGTGACCATCAGAGAGGCTGGAGAGTCTTTCAGAACTGTTACCTGTGTTGCTCTTCTGTGTACTATCCTGAGGCTGAAGTTCACAAAAGGTTTGTGAATGAATAAATGAGACAAAAAGAACCCGCGTAGCCCACAAAGGGTGAAACGCACCCTTGACTGCGTATCCATACTCCTGTGCTATTTGCACACATTTAAATTGGGTTAAGTGCATTTTTGCATTGGTGCAAAATTGCCCCCTTTTCTATGCAAATGAAAGAGACAAATTCATCAGATCAGCGCTAAAAGCTACACACGGCTACGGTGACATCAGCAGCGTCTTCAGAGGGTTGGGGGGGCTGAAGCACACACATGCTGACATGGGGTCTCTCTTTCTCGTGAGGCGGCACAATTATTCAAATATGAATTGAGATGGCGATTTGTCCCTCCCACAATTGAATGAAAGTGATCGACTGCGATAGTAACGTTTAACATTGCCGGCTCTGCTCACTGAAAACTCCACTGGCTGTAACAGCGTTCCCTCTCTGACATTCTTCTTACTGTGTTCTTAGCGTGGAGGAAACGTTAGTACTCCACATTGATCATTGCAATCACACGCTAACAACGGCAAAGTGCAGCAGAAGTGAATTGGCTTGTTTCCGCTGTTATATTCTTTATATATCTTTTGAGAATTTTGACCTTGAGGTGGAGCAGAGTATACGCTATTGATCCATTCTTTGTGAACTAGTCCCTGAGGTGCAGTGTCTTGCATTTATATATATATATAT